CCTCACTTAAACCCAATTCACCACCAAGTCAAGACATCACCCCATGAAATCATCGGTCCTCTCTGAGAACGAAGGATGATAGAGACTACACCTGTGATTTCACTGGTATGGGGAATTCCCAGGTGAGTAGACTCCCTCAATCAACTCATGGTCAGCACTTAATTGTCCAACTTCTAGTCTTTGAGAGCTGCCTAGAGCACAGAGAGGGTGTGTCTTGTCCAAAGTCACACAGCCAGTATGTGTCAGGCATAGGACTGAACCTGGACCTTCCTGGCTTCAAAGCCAGCTCTTTATCCTCCAATGCCATACTGCTTTTATATGCAAAATATATACAAAGAAAAAAAATTCCCAGAGCCAGAAATATTTTCCCTATTGTTACCGACTAGTTCAGGGGTGGGAAGCCTGCGTCCTAGGCTCCCCACCCCTGAACTAGGGCATTCAAAAAATGCTTTCTGTAACAGGTGTTACTTGAGGGAGCCAGGTATTACAAGACAAAGAGGTCAGGAAAGAGAGCATCCCAGGAATGAGGGTCAGGCAGTGAAAGGGGAGGGAGGGGAAGATGGAATGTCACGCTTTCACGGTTTGCAGGGGATTAAAGAGAATGACGTCAAATGAGGCTGAAAAATAGGCTGAAGCCGGATTGTAAGGGGCTTTAAATGGCAAACAGCAAGTTGACTTTGACCTCTTCTAGGTGCTCACTCTCAGAGGTGATGCCCTGCCCCATGATCAGTCCTCAAGAGTGTGTCTGCCTTTTACCTTGTGAGGAGAGGAATTCTTACGTTTGCCTAGTTTGTTTTTCTCTTAACTTTCTCAAGAACTTTTCTATCCACCATTTCATTTGATCCTCACAACTATCCTGGGAGGTAGGCAGAGCCAAGATTATTATCCCCATTTTACAGATGAGAAAACTGAGACTTGGGCTTTTCATGATTTTGCTCAACAAGTTTTCAGCAAATCCAGGATAGGAAGCTCTCTTGACTCCTATTCCCTTTTTCTTTTCATTAGCGTCATTATCGTTGTTATCATTGAAATTTAATATTTACTATGATTGTACACATATAGCCTATATCAGATTGCTTGCCCTCTTGGGGAGGGAGAGAGGGAGAAAAAAATTTGGAACCCAAAATCTTATAAAGGAGAATGTTGAAAATTATCTTTACATGTAACTGGAAAAAAAATAAAATACTGTTAAGTGTGGGGGGGGGAGAAATTTAATATTTCCACTGCAATGACTGTTTCATTCTGGCATGGACGTGACCTTGGGTTCTAGAAGGATGTGCCAATAAAGCACAAGTTTTGGCAGTGCTACAGGGCTGGCTTTGAGTTTAGGTCCAGTGATAGACAATATGGCTGTGATGTGCAGAGCAGTCCAGTAGAGTTCAGAGAGAGTCATGACAAACTGAGAGGAAAATTTTAGTTTTTGTCTTTGTATCCCCAAAACCTAGCACAGGTACCTTGCATACAGTAGGCATTTAATAAATTAATACTTTAATTAAATATTTGATAAATGATGAGTGTTTGTTGAATTGACTTGCCCCATTATGATATCAAAGTATTTCCATCTCATTTCATAATTTAAATACTTCAGCAATTCCAAAGATCTGTGGTTACATCAGCGTCAGTATTTTCTCTTTCTATTCAATATGTAACCCCTCCTTGTCTTTATAAGTGGTCTTCATAAGCTTTCTCCTCATAAAAGGCCAGGAGAAGGAAAGGAAACCTCAAACCCATTTTAGAGATGGGGAAAGTAATGTTCACTGAAGTTGAGTGATTTTGCTGCAGGTGTCCCAGGAGTTTATAATCAGTCAAGTGAATATGCATGTACATGGTGACCTGTGAAGAAATAGCTTATTTGTCAATCACCTCATAGATGAGACCTGCCCAAGTGGAGAGAAAGCTTGATTAAGGTCTTTTTTTTTTTTTTACATTTTATTATTCAAAGTAGTATGGACTGCAAAGTAATGAGCTCAAACTGAACTTAAAGCCAGGGAAGCTGGGTTCTGGTCTGGAGTCAAGAAGACTTGAGTTCAAATCCAGCCTCAGACACTGGCAAGCCGTGTGACCTTTGGCAACCCATTTAACTTCAGTCTGTCTCACTTTCCTCAAATGTAAAACAGGGCTATTAATAGCACCTACCTCAAAAGGTTGTTGTGAGGCTTGAATGAGATATTACTTGGAGAGGGCTTAGCACAGTGCATGGCATATAGTTGTTCAGTCACTAGAGTCATGTCTGACTCTTTGTGACTCCATTTGGGGTTTTCTTGGCAAAGATACTGCAGTGCTTTGCCATTTCCTTCTCCCGCTCATTTTACAGATGAGGAAACTGAGGCAAACAGGGTAAAGTGACTTGCCCAGGGTCACACAGCTAGTAAGTGTCTGAGGCTGGATTTTGAACTTAGATTTTCCTGATTCCAGGCCCAGTACTCTAGGGACTGAGCCACCTAGATGCCCCCTGGCATACAGTAGGTGTCTAATAAATGTCATTTTTAATAGTCCTGTCAATAAATGTCTTTTTTTTTTCAGCAGTCCTGTCAATAGATGTCTCTGGCACTGTGTGATTGGGACTTTCCTATTCTGGGCCTCAGTTTCTCCCACTGCAAAACAAATTTGTGGTTCTGAGGCCAGACTGATCATGTACAGCTGTGGTCCAGTCAAGATGCTGAGCTGAACTGGTGAGTCTGGGACACACAGATGTGTGGCTGAAGGGTGGAGGGAGGAGGAAAAGGGTACAATTTATAGCCAAAAAAGAAAATGCCCCTTTGGTTTGGGCTGGATTGGGCTAGGGAAACTCAAGGAGGGCAGTGATTGCTGAGATAAGGATGGAACCAATCAGATTATTCTGATTGGGACTGGGACCCTAAGCTTGGGTTGATGACCAGTGGGCAAAGCCATGAAGTAGACCAAGTCTTTGAATCTCCTTACCCACTTCGTGCTCCTTTCTCTGCTGGCGCATCCCTGAATATCCCAGTCCTTTCACATTCCCCGGGGCCTTCTTCTACCCATGCAGGTCTGACTTCCTCATGCCCCAAGCTCTGAGCTTTCTCCCTCCAACTTAATCCTCTCCCCAAATCCCCCCAAAATGCTCCTCCCAGCTCTGGGGACCTTTAAAACATTCTGATAGACTAATTCACACTGAGTTGTTAATGAATAACAGAAGCTTAACGTCCTGGCTCTCCTACTAGTCTTTGACTTTTAACCTTTTAAGACTTAACTCAAAGGAATGAATTTCAACAGCGAAATTTTAGACATTTACCAAAGGCCTGCAGAGGTTATGTTTGAGAAAGAAGGAGGAGGAGGAGGCCTTTCTTTGACAGTATTTTTTGTGTAAATTACAGGGATGGCTTGAAGACAAATCACTAGCACATCTAAGCCCATCTAAGTGTCTGTGGCACGAGGCCCCTGCTTCAGATCCTGGTTCTGTCGTTCACTACTGTGTAACCCTTAGCACGTGTGTGCATGTCATGTCCTCCGTTAGAATGGGAGCTTCCTGAGGGCAGTGACCCGGCACTTGGTAAGGTGCTTGGTACTTAATACGTGCAGGATGACTTGGGAGCCTTCCTAGGACTCAGCTTCCTCAAACAAATGGCCTTTCCAGCTCTGTACCTATGATTCTCCCCCGGAGCAACAATCACCCTACATGAACGAATGCTACCCGGACCTGCTCCAATCATTCGGTGGAGCTGAATTAAAAGGCTACAAGTCCAGCCCTTTGCTCTAGTCACTGAGTCAGCCTGCACCACACACACTCCCTCACCATCACCTCAGGCTTAGCACCAACTCACCCAACCCCACAAGCCTAACATATTTTCCCCCCCTTCTTCCCACAATACTCAGTCTCTTCTCACCAGATTCTGTCCCTCCCCTCCTGCCCCAACCAAGCCACACGCCCACCACATTCTGACCCTTCCACCTACTCAAATTCTGCCTTTCCTGTCTGTCTTGCTCCGTAATCCCAGGCCCTACCAGTCTGGTCCCATCCCTGTTCCTTCCCCACCAAACCAAGTCCCTCCCTACCACACCATGCCCCTCCCCTCTTCTCACCAGACCAAGCCCCTCCCTGGCTCCTTCCTCACCAAACCCTAACCCTCTCCCGATCTTTCTCCACAGTCAAACCCAGCCCCTCCCTACCACACCATGCCCCACCCCTCCTCTCCTTACCTAACCCTTTCCCTCCCCTAGTAGTGCTCACCAGATCTCTCTCTCCTTAACTCCTCCCTAGCATTTCCAGTGACTCCCCAGCTACTCCTATGGGATCTGACAGCTGTCTTCTAGCATTTGGAGAACTGTCTTATAGAAGCTTGTTCTGCTGTCTCCTAAGGATAGAAGCTGGCAGAGAGGAAGCATGTGATGTGAAAAACACCTTCAAGCATGGAATGAGTGGCCCATGACCACCTGCTTGAAGTGTTGCAGAGGGCATCCCTATTTCTAAGCTAGATTGGACTGTGCCCTGTAAGATCCCTTCTAACCCTGGAATTCCATGACTGTGTTTCTCCTGTTTCTCATCAGACGACATCCCTCCCTGTTCTCCTCCCACCAAGTGTCCTGTTCTTTCCCTACCTTCAAAGTCTCTTCCAAGAAGCATTCCCAGACCCTGCCAGCTCTGATTACTCCCTGATGCCAAGGATGCCAGTCACCCTGACAACTCCTCCCACACTAAGCATACCTAGTTTGCACTTGCTTTGAGAACAGCCTTGTGTTTTTCCCCGCTGCTGTGTAGGAATGGATGTCTTGTCCCTAAGCTCCCTCCAGGTGGGGCCTCTAGGATTTAGAGCTGGCAGGGACCTGAGATCATCTCATCCAAGTCTTTTATTTTACGGGTGATGAAACTGAGGCCCAGAGAGGAAAAGTTTGAATCCAGATCTTCCAATTTCCAAATCAGCCCATTTACCACTTCACCAGATACTGAGATAAAACCACGTTGAAAAAATAAAAACAAACCCAGAACCCAGCACCGACACAAAACCCAATGGATAAAGAAGACAACACCACCATCACAGGAGTGTGGTTAGGTCAATAAGTATTATTTACTGAGCACCTGCTATATACCCAACCCTGTGTTAGGGGGTCGTGTGGGATACAGAGAAGTATAAGATGCTGTCCCTGCCCTCAAAGAGCTTACAGTCTAGTTGAGGAGACCAAGACATACACATGAACCAGAACAAGAGAAGAGAGCGCAGAATCAAGTGCTCAAATTGTATGGTACAGACTCCAAGTGCTTGCTACCTACTCTCCCCTCTAGGGTCAGTGCCCAGGCTGGGGTTTTGTCCACAGGACTTTTGGGACAGGTCAAAGTCAGGATGGAATGAAACCTGTTCCTTCTGTATGCAGTCAGCAACGGCCCCTCCTACCTTCTCCCAAAAGGCCAGAACATCCTCGTCACTCTGCCTCCAAACCACCATCACCTTATTCAGCTGCTACACAAAGTACAATGGGAAGGGAGGGGAGACGGGAGGATGAATGGGAGGGGGAAAGGGTGGCAGGGGAGGGGAGAGCTAAGAGGAAAACCTAGCCACGGAAGGGTAGCTAGGTCTCTGTAGAAAGTGCAGGGCAGGACAGCACCAATAGGGACCCGGGATCCTGAGCAGCTTGGCTGGTTCCTCCACCTTTGGGGAACGGATGCCCACCTGCCCACTCAGTGCCGGAGGGCAGGCAAAGAGGGGCATGACAGAGGGAGGGGGTGGGGGAAACGCTACAGGAACCGACTCTCTCCCCCACCTCTCAGTAGAGAGCAAAGCCAAAAGGCCAATGGGGTGGGACCCCTACCCTTCATCCCTTGGCTTTGGACATCTCAGAGGAGGCCAGTCACTTTGTACCCCTACCAATCCTACCCCCACCTCACCCTCCCAACAAAGTGCCATCTGTTTTTTATTTTTATTTTATTTTTTTCAAATTAAAATTAACTTAGTTTAGAGAACCCGGGAGAAGTCCACAACACCTGATGGGAGATAACTGCCCTTGGGCATGTCACCTAACCAGGAGATCCTGGGTAAGGAACAACAAGGCAGGGAAGCTAGCAGCATTCCTTAGCTACACCGATCTCTGGCCTGAGGCCAACTTCATTCTATCTTATAGGATAGAGGAAACATAGGACAAGGACATTTTAAATAAGGTTTCAAAACATAAAAATACCCGACAGTCCGACTTATACAGCGGGGGCGCAGCTAGCTTTCCACTGTCGTTTTTTGTGTTTTTTTTTCTTAAATATTCTCCATGCTATACAGGCCAGGGCCCACCCAGCACGAAGAGAGCGTATATATACAAAGAGGAGTTTAAATTAAAATACAAACAATAATTAAAACACACACACACTGACGAACAAAAAGCTGAATTGGGGTGGTCATCATCACCGGGCCGAAAGAGAGAGATTGGAGCGTCAAGTCACGGCTTTCTCTTGTAGAAGATGAGCCTTCGCTTTGAATGGTAGAAATCTGATAAGACAGAGGGGAAAAAAAAATGTCCAAGGGTGACCAGGTCAGCATAGACTTGCAAAGAAAGACAACACATAATTTTTGACTTTAAGCTTTGTTTTCCTCACAAAAGCCCTGGCAGCCAAGGGGGGTGAAAGTATTATCATTCACATTTTACTAAGGCCCAGAGAGATTGAGTGACCTAGTCATTGTCACAGGATTCAAACCCAGTTCTCAGGACCTCAAGTCCGGCATGCTTCCCCATTCTGCCTCTCACCCAAAGCAAATAAGTGAAAGAAAGAACCAGGATCCCAGAAGTGTGCCTGTCCTCCTAAAGAGTACTTGATGGAGAACTTCATAGAATCAAAGGCTGGAAGGGACTTTAGAGGCTATTACCAGGTCTATCACTAACTGTATAACCTTGGGTAAGTCATTCCCTCCTCGGGGTTCCAGCTTCCTTATCTGTTTTGAGTTTGAACTAGACAGCCTACACTTAGGGTCAAATGAATTAGAGTTAGAAGGGAACAACTGGAAATTATTTAGTCGGACCCCCATCTTTTTTTTTTTTTGGAAGCAACTGAGGTTAAGTGGCTTGCCCAGGGTCACATAGCTAGTAAGTGTCTGAGGTAGGATTTAAACTCAGGGCCTCCTGACTTCAGGCCCAGTGTTCTATCACAGCATCACCGAGCTGCCCTCTGATCCCATCATTTTACAGAATAAAGTGATGCCCATAGAGGTTAAGGGACTTAACCAAGTAGGACAAATCTTTTTTTTTTTTGGGGGGGTGGCAATCAGGGTTAAATGACTTGCCCAGGATCACACAGCTAGTAAGTATCGTGCCTAAAGCGGAGAACAAGTCTTAAGTAGGAGAGTTGAGATTTAAACTCAGATCTTTGACTCTAAATCCAGAGCTCCTTTCATTGTCTGATGCTGCCTCACTGAAGTTATTTCTAGCTCTGATATTTGACATATATAGGAAGATGAATTACATGACCACTACGGTCTCCCTGAATAATAAGATTCTGTGGTTCTAAGTAGTCCCTCCCTCCTGGAGCCCATCCGCCCACTCACCAGTCATGCTGGTCTGCTTGTGTTTTCGGGTTGGTTGGGAGGTCCCAGCCTTGGACCCTTCCTCCCGCTCTGGGGTCAGTGGTACTACGGTGCAGGAGAGGGACAGGTCCACATGGTCTCCCTGGGCGGACATCTGTAGCAGGGCTGGGGAGCTGGGCTGGGGCTTTGGCCTCTTCCCCCCCAGGTCCTCCCTGCCCCATGGCCCTGATGGACGATATATGGAGGGCAGATCCAGGCCTCGGACCCTCTCCCAGGCAAAGTCGCCGTCCAGGGGAGTCTCGGTGACGAAGTCGAAGTTCCATCGGCGCTGGGCTTCCTGAGTGCAGCTCTGCATCAGATCCTGGCAGTCTTGCTGCAACTGCTCGTGGTCCACAGGTCCAAAGAGGTTCCGGCAAAGTTTCCCACTGCAGGGGATCTGACGAGTTCTGCTCGGTGACTCAGACATGGTGACGACTCTGGCTGGGAGATAAAATGACATTTAGTTGACTAGGGAGTTCAGGAACCCAGAGTGAAAGCTGCACAGAACCTTCTAGAGGCCACCTAATTCAACCCCCTTTTTTGCAGATAGGACACCTGACAAGTTCAGTGATTTGCCCAGGGTTCCAAGTCAGTAAGTAATACAGCTGAGATTCTGACTCCAAATCCAGCGTTTTTCCCGGTGCACCAAGCTTCTTCTCCAAAGTTCCCCACAACCCTGCCACAGACACCCTCCTCCTCTACCCCCACCCCAACACACATGCAGCAACACTCATGCACACACAAGCACAGAAAAAGAGCCAGGAAACCAGAGTCCTCTTCCCAGCTCTGTCACTGACCCCCCCACACCCCCGTTCTCAGCTTATACAAGGTACTTCCTGATTCTGGGTCTCAGTTTTCTCCCCTGTAAAATGATCACAATAATCCTTACATTACCTACTCCCTGGGGTTTGGAAGAGAAAAGAACTTTAGAGACCCTCCAAGCCTCATAGAAATGAGAGTTATCATTACTGGTATAATTTCAGGGGTTCCAGGAAATCACTGAAGACAGGATGTTTATGTTTACAAAAGTGCAGAGACATTATGACATCATTTCACTGGATCCTCCCAGCAACCCAGGGGGAAGTAAGCAAAGACTGTTATCTCCATTTCACAGATGAGGAGACTGAGGCCCAAAGAGACGGCGACCTACCCAAGGTCACATGGCAAGGAAAAGGAAGAGCTAAGGCTCAAACTCAGGGCTCCTGTCACCACCCTCCTGAGGTTGGCTTGAATACAGTAGCAGTTAACAGATCGTATTTAAAGAACAACAGCTAGAATTGATTTATTACCAACTAGTTCTCTTAGCTTATTGCTCAAACATGCTTGAAATTATATATGAATTATATATATGAATTATACCAGTGTATATATGAATTACACCAAGTGTATATGAATTACACCAGTGTAAAATGTTTTAGCAAGGGCCCAGGCCCAGGCAACATTTTTTATTCATTTCTCAGCTCAGGTCTTACTTCAACTGGACAACAGTACTCTTTCCCCAAGGAAACTAAGACAAGAAAGACCTTTACTAGGAAATTTGTCAATCGCCCTTCCCCTTTGGCCTTCAGAACCAAGTTCAATGCCCCAACTTCCTTTTTTCAGACTTTGACTTACACACATTCTAGACCACAGGCAAACTGGTATAAGCTCACAGACCCATAGTTATATTAAATAATAAGTCAGCATATACCAGCGCTCAATTCACTGCTGGCAGACTTGTGAACTAGTCCGACCATTCCAGAGAACAATTTAGAACTATGGTCAAAGGGCTAAAGAATGTGCATACCCTTTGAGCCAGCAATACCATTACTAAGTCTGTATCCCAAAGGGATCAAAGAAATGGGAAAAGGATCCATTTGTACAAAAATATTCATAGCAGCTCTTCTTGTGGTGGCAAAGAATTGGAAATTAAGGGGATGCCCATCAATTGGGAATGGCTGAACAAGTTGTGGTATATGAATGTAATGGAATACTATTGTTCCATAAGAAATGATGAGCAGGCAGGCTTCAGAAAAACCTGTAAAGACTTACATGAACTGATGCAAAGTGAAGTGAGCAGAACCAGAACATTGTCCACAGTAACAGCAACATTGTAACAAGGATCAACTGTGGAAGACTTAGCTACTCTGATCAAAACAATGATCCAAGACAAATCCAAAGCCCCCGTGATGAGAAATCCACCTCCGGAGAGAGAAAGAGTGCACATTAAGTGCAGAGTGAAACATACTTTTTTCACTTTCTTTATTTTTGTCTTTGTATTTTATTTTGCAACATGGCTAATAAGAGGAAAAAAACATAACAGTGTTTTTTACAAGACCTTTACCTATAGTCCCTCATTCGACTTTCACAATAACCCTCTAACGTAGGTGCTGTCCCCATTTTAAAGAGACAGAAACTGAGGCTCAGAGAAATTAAGAGGCTCGCCCAAGGTTACACAGTTAGTGAGGCAGGATTTGAACCCAGGTCCTTCTGTCAAGTCCAATGCTCTTGCCACCATACTATATACACGGCAAGTCTCAGTTAAAATCCCAGGCTTCTACAGGAAGCCTTTCCCTATCCCTCTAAATTCTAGTGCTTTTCTTCTGTTCATTATTTCATTTATCCTGTATATAGCTTGTTTGTACATATCTGTTTGCATGTTGTCTCCCCCATTAAATTATGAGTTCCTTGAGGGCAGGGACTATCTTTTGTTTTTCTTTGTATCTGAAGCACTTAGCATGATTGCTGGCACATGGTAGGTGATTAATAAATGTTAGTTGACTGACTGACAAACCTTAACACATAGACACACAGGTTTGGTCAAAGAGTTAGATCTGGAAGAGAACTTAGAAACTATCTCTATTTAGAAATGAGGAAAATGAGGTCAGAGATTAAAGTGATTTGCCCATGGTCACACAGGTAGTAAATGACAGTGGGGAGGGAAAAGGAAAGGAATAAGCATTTATATAGCACCTACTATGTGCCAGGCATTTTTACAAATGTTATCTTATTTGATCCTCACAAAAACCCTTTGAGGTAGGTGCTATTATTACCTCCATTTTACAGTTGAGCCAACAAAGGTCAAATGACTTACCCAGGGTCACACTTCTTTTAAGTCTCTAAGGCCAAATTTTAACTCAGGCCCAACTGCCTGGATTTGAATCCCAGCCCTCTGGTAGCAAAATCAGTGCTCCTTCTCCCACCTCTAATGCACACAGAACATGCCGAGAAAACTCACATAGGACAACATAGAACACAGGGCACAACCTGGCCCAGACTCAGAAGCACATATGCACACTGGCACAGGCCCACAACCACAAGGACCCATGTTCTTTCTTGGGGCTTCCCCAGTCTGGGATCTACCCAGGCACCTTAGTGCCAACTTGCCTCACCCAGAGTTTCTGGTTCTCTGCCCATAACCTAGACAGCCCTACAAGGAAGTAAGCAGCTCTAAAGTGTTGAAAATAACCTTTGGGCCATGGGGGTGGGGTGATGACTGGTGGAGCACAGCTGTGTGTGCATGTGCGCGCGCGCACAAGTGCATTTACCCCTGTGACGTCACCAGCAGCAAGCATTGTTCCTTGACAAAGTCAACTTAATGCTTTTTCTAAACCCCCAGCCCAGCACCACTACCCCCATCTCTCCAGTCTAGCAGAAAAGAGCTAGGAAGTAGAAATCAATCAGGAGTATTAGGCTCTAGTCCCAGCTCTGACCCAGTAAGGTGCAACCCTGGCCTGACACTGGCCAAGTCACTGCCCTTCTTCAGGCCTCAGTTTCCTCATCTGTAAAAGGTCTCTCTCATAAGACAGCAGTAAGGATCAAGAAAGGCGTTTGAAAAATCTAGAGGATCATCCACTTTCTGTGTGGCTTCGACAAATTCTCTCCAGCTTGCCTTTCCTCGGGTCTTCCCTCCCAGGTGTCTAATAAGCAGAGGAGTAAGCCCCAGACACTTGCCTTGTGACAATCTGTATGCCCCCAGGGGACAGGCTGGGGGTGGGGGAGCAGCAACACAACAGTGCTGAAGTCAGAAGACCTGGGTTCAAAGCCGGCTCTGCCGCCATTACCCACGTGATCTTGGGTAAGTTATCTTCTCCTCAACTACAAAATTATGAAGTTGGAGTAAACGATCCTTAAGGTGAATTTCAAGTCTAAGAATGATCCCAGGTAGAGGAGGTGGTAGCATTGGCCTGAGGGATCAGAGAATCCCATGTCTGGAACTGGAATTTTACAGATAATGAAACAGAGGCCCAGGAAAATTAAGTGACACTAACACAAGCCCACAGACCCACATGTATAGTAAATGGTAGTAGTGAGAATGTTCTGGAATTTTACAAGTGCTGTATATCCATTACCTCATATAAGGCTCAGAACTGTTTTTATCTCCATCTTACTAATGAGGAACTTAGGGCTCAGAGAATGACTTACCCAGGGTCACACTGCCAGAAAAGGTCAGAGGCAAAACTCGAACCCAGGCCTTTCTAACTCCAGGTCCAACACTCTTTCCAGTATACCACATATTCCCCAGAATATACTCCCACAAACACTAACACAGACACATTGGCATATATGGAAGGGTCACAGGTTTAGAGCTGGTAGGGACTTCAGAGGCTATTTTAATTTTAGAGAAGAAGAAAATGAGGCCCAGAGAGTTAAGTGACTTGCCCCATGTCACACAGGTAATAACTAGCAGAGATCATATTCCAATCTGGCTCCTATGACTGTTAGGATGGCATGGGACAGGGCAGGGCAGGGGCCCATCGAGAAAAAGGGTAATATCTTGTGAGATGAGCTATATCCTGAACAGATAAATGAGGTGATTCGAACAGGCCACACACCTTGAACTCACTGGTTTTTAACTGCTTGACCCCGAGGGGCCACATTTCCAAGCCCAAATCAACAAAAAACACATCTGAGCAGGCTTTCTGGTGCCCCCTACCTCCATAGCTTCCTAGGCTCCTCCTGTATCTGGTGTCAGAGGAGACCAGGAAAAATAAGCTTCCCTATTTATGGTGACCCCAGTACCTGCCCCCACCCTACTCCATGCCCTGACATCAGCCAGACTTCTGGGGGTTACTGGTAAGCCTGGGCAGGAAGTCTGTTTTCAGGAGAGCGAGTCCAGGCCTGTGTCTTCCCAAGGGACAAACACCCACTGAGTTAACCCCCATCCCCAAGGAGAGGGGGAGCTTGAGTCAGTCAGTCAGTAAGTCAGCCAGTCAACAAATATTAGGTGCCTACTGTGTGCCAGGTTCTGTGCCAAGCCTGTGCCCCACCTTTTGCTACAGTCACGGAATCATAACATGGAAGAAATGGAAGAGACCTCAGAATTTTTCTAGTCCAATTCTTCCCCATTAAAGATGGAGAGATAGAAGCCCAGGGAAAGAAAATATTTTGCCCTAAGGTCACAAAGATGGCAAAGCCCTTCCCAGTGCTGGGCTCATTCCACTCTCTCAGTGGACAG